AACAGTTGAGTGACTGTAGAGTATCAAAACAGTGGTAGAACAGCAACATGACAGACTCTGCCTGCTCTCTGTCTGGTAGCAGTTTACAATTGATCACATGCGCATGTTTGTTATAATGTGGTAATTAACTGTGCTAAGTTGTCAAAAATTGCAAATCTGTTTCCATTTGCATACACAGAAATTCACATTGAATAGAAATTTGTATTAACTACTGACATTGAGAGTTCAGTTAGAATCACATAGATCTGAAAGAAAAATTGAGAAGTAGTGATGTTATTTTTGCAGATTTTCAATTTAGCTGTGAAATGACACAGGTACTTGGTAACTTTGCATTTACAAAAATAAAACCTAGAATACAGTCTGATGACAACCAGTTGAGTCGAGTCGAGGGCACAACTGTCAAGTAGTATTATTTACAAACCTTTGCCAATTTGTCTAAGAGTGATCGCAGTCACACTGAGCTGGATCAAAATTGTTTGGAGACAGGTTACATCCCACCAGGGGATCTGTTAATTGTCGCTAGTTGTACTTGCCAACACCAAAACAAAGTAATAGCAATCCCCAGGCAACCACATTTTTTTCTTAGTTGCATGGAGATTGTCGTAGTATTTTTACTCTAAAGTGACGGTGCCAAGATTAATTTTTTAAGAAGTGTCTCCCTCCTGTAAATGACATTTTTGTCAAGCACAGGTTTATATCATGTTCTTAAGATCTGGTTCCCATCACTGGAACAAGTTAAAAATAAAACATCAAGAATCTGAATGAAAGTACAGTTGTGACACTTGCTCTGCTTCCAGCACCTCAGAGAGAGGGGTTGTATTATTCATGTCTTCCGTGTTGTTAAGGTATCATGTAGCTGAAGTTGTGTGTTTCTTATTGCCTCTGTGTACAGATCTGATGATCTTTCGCTCTGTCAGGCTGGGGTGTTTAATCCAGGTCAGCTGCCATCCTAAGCTGCTGTTTTCATGGCTTGTTAGAAAACTCTTAATTGGTGAATACGTGTGTGAGCTAAAGTTAGGGAGACAGTGTCGCAAGAGTCTCATCTGTTTGTCTGGCACTGTGTTAAGGTTTGTGGGGGGAACACAAGACCAGACACATGGCCAAATGTGATGAGTGCTTCTGGCTCTGACACAATTGACATGGCACTAGAGAGATCACAGACCCTATGTTCTCCTGCTATGTTTTCCCAAAGGCTGAGCACAAAACCACCCAGCTTTTTGTCTTATATAGATATGTGTCTATCACTACAAATCCAGAGCTTCTTATTCTTGTGACAGTCAATAAGCAATTCATTACAACTTGCAGGTTTGGAACGTACTATGACTTATCTTAAGATGCTTCTTACATCTATAAACATCAGTTGTTGTAGAACATGTTTCAAAGAGTCTTTGTAGCCAGTAGGTTTTGGTCAAGTGCAGGCTCAGGTGGTCACCATGTGAGAATGATTACAAAGAGGTAGCAGTGAGCTTTAAAACTAACTGAGTTATAGGCTTTGAGTCACACAGGCACAATGAAATGTAGTGTAACAAATTACATGCTTCAGAAAATTTAACATTTAAAAGTATGTAATATAAATTCACAAATTAAACAGCTGTGGCTGTTGTGACTTGTGTTCATAAAAGCTACCCTTTTTTAAATGTTTGAAGTGCAAGAAAAGATTTATTCTTACATTGGCTGAAGGTCCAATAACATAAGCAGGTCATATCCAGGATTAATAAAAGGAGAAATATTTCAGTTGACAGATATAATTTCATTTCCTGTTTTGTGATACAGATAAATAAGAATTTGTTTTGAAGCTATATGGCTAATTATTTTTCTCTCTTTTTTTCTCTTTTCTTCCATTCTCTTTCCTTTGTTTCTTCCACTCTCCTGTAATCATTCCATATGTCTTCTACCTCCATCACCCCTTCTGTTCTCAACAAACAGGTCCCTCATCAAATGGGTGCACTGACCTTCTACCGTTATGAACAGCCTATTGTAGACTACTGCCAGGCCCATCAACCCTTGCGGCTAAACATGGGTTATGAGGGACCCCCACAGGGCCTGGAGGGCCTGGAGGACCTTGGGCCATGTGATAGAGGCACTATACAGACAGTGGCACTGCCAGCAGTGCCCTCTGCTGCCAGCATAGGTGCCCCTGTTCCAGGACCTCGCTCTCCTCCATCGACCCTCAGACCACCAACTGAGGGTCCCGGCAGCAGTCCTTTTCCTACTTCTGAGCGCACTGGCACACTCAAATTTGGACGCTAGTGAGCATGGTTAGAAGTGGGGCAAGGGCCTCTCATTCACCATGACTTTGAAATGAAGGGGCAGGCGAGCTGGTTATTCAGTGGGGCCTTGTTCTTAGAACATCGGTATGTGAACTAGAGGACAAAATTTTCAAATTATGCCTGGAGGCATTTATCATCTGAAACACACAGTCTCAACCATATACAGTAGGGTGAGACATTCTTGCTGATCATTTTGTTTTTCTTTTCCAAAACAACTCATAGAAAAAAAGGGTCCCTGACTCAAGGGAGGTTAATTCAGCATATGCCACAAAGAATTACCTTATTTCCAAATCTGATCTTTGTCATATCCCATATCAGCATCTGTTCACAGCAGCAGCCAGCTTACTCTGAGTCAAGAGTGAAAGGGAAAGTGCAATAAACAAAAGTTTTCATTCACGACAAGTGAGGGCAGTAACATCAAAGATTGAAGAGATAGAGCATATGAAGAGCAGAAGGCTTCTTACTGTGATTAACATTACAATTTCTACTCACTAGCTATTAAGAAAGTTAACATATATAATTTCATTAATTACATAAATATTTTGTTTCTTTGAGTGTCATATTTTGTACTGAATTACATTAATGTGCATGTTAAACCAAAGAGTTTACTAATATTTTTTCTTTCTTTTTGCACATAAGGTACTTTAACTAAGGAGATTTTTAAATGTCAGATGTTCCACTGAACTAGCCTCTGCCAGTTCACATTTATAATTACCACTAGATCCCCTGATGATTTCGAATGGACTAGAATTGTCTTAAAGAAATAGAATAATCAAGGGGGTCATCATGTTGAAAGGTTATGAACGTATTTATCATAATGAGGTATCACACCTAGCACTCCCAACGTCAGCTCAAGTCAGTTCTTGTGATCTTAGTGTTGCTATGAAAAACATAATTCAAAGCAGCATAAACTGTATGTTCCATAAATGTATTAAATATATAAAGACCCTTTACACAGATGAACAACAAGTCATTGTACCGTATATGACTATATCCCAGCTGAATAATCCACTATGCTTTAAAAAAAAAGGCAATCATGAAAAACTAAAATAAGAACATTTGAATGAAATGTATTGTACATATTATTAAAAAGGTCTACTTCACTGAAGGTCAAACCACTCTCACTGCCCCAAACAGTCATTTGAAACATTGTTGAGTCAATTTTTGACTTTCATTAACTGGACTACTTGAAGAGCACCATCTTGCTGGGTTGGCCAGGCTTAGGCCATGTGCTCTTCCACCACAGAGAATAATGGTGCCTAGTGGTGGCATGCTGAACCAGCACGTTGACTTCTCTTTGACCTGCATATGATCCCACAGACTATACAGGAGGTATTGCCTGACATCTCAATTTTTTCCAGAAAGTGAGCCGAAATTAAGGAATGTTTTCTTTTTTTTTTTCTTTTTTTTTCTTTTTCCTAATCAGTAAACCTTTGGCCACCGTGTTGAGCACTGCTGCTTGTTGACTTATGGAGCTGTTGAGGATTTCGGATACGGCTTGCATGGCCTGTCAAACAATGTCCTCAGTTTAACTCAAGCAGTGCACCAGTTTCCTACATGTCAGTGGTCATACTCTAGGGAGCTGTGGAACTTACGCTTGCTCTTCCTACAGAGAGACTGATTGATCCACACATGAAACTGCAAGGGGCCAACATTTCCCAAGAAAGATGATGCATATTCAAACAAATATGCATTGTTTTTGTTTTATTTTGTTTTGGTATTATATTTTTTTGCTTGAAAATTTTTGAGGTGTTCAAAGATGATGTCAAGAAATTCTATAAGACAAATAAAAGGACAAAATCAAATAGAACTTATTTATGATGTAAATAATGAGTCTTTAAAGATTAAAAAAAAAGGTATGAACTTCATTTCTTCTGAAACACAAACTGCTTGTGAACAGAAGAGGAGCCTTATTCACTTTCCAGTGGGAATATATTACTAAGATGACTTGGTGAGGAGGTTCCTACTGTAATGCTCTCGTTGTTTCAATGATAAGTATTTTTCTATCTGCTCCCGTCACTATTCTACCACTCTACCATTAAAAACAAAATATGTTACTGACATTATTTCTCAAATCCAGTCATTTTACTAAATAATGCGAAGAGGGGAAGATTCTGAGCCCTGTTATTGTGATGTACTTCAAGCGCCAAACTTGACAGAGATTCATATTTCCTGTTCTGCCATCAGGCATGTTGGAGAAGCCATCTCACAGGGGGTAATCAAATAATGAGTTGTTAGTTACATCCATTCCTCTTGTTCAAGAATTTTAACACTATCAGCCATTTCAAGGTCTACTCGGGGAGAAGTGTGCTTTTCTTTTTTACCAAGAGTTTAACTTGTGAAGGATGTTCTTTATAATGTGCCATTATTTTGTTAAATGTTTTATCAAAAAACAAAACAAAACAAAAAAAAAAAAAACAACTGACCCGAAATGCTTCATGATATCACAACTAAGAAGGGTTCGGTCCCTTCATGTACAGGACATTGCATTTTAAAAAAAAGCAGTTGATTCGCTCAGTACGGTTGCTTAATAGTGATGGTGGAGTTTACTTTGTAATAGCAGCTGTGCCAATGTCTTTATAATGGGAGCTCTCTCAATTCTATCCATGTATTGTCCTGCCTTGCTGTATATCACCCCTGATAACTCCTTGGCCTGAATTTCATGTCTGCTGCTTGGTGACTCGGGTGAACCTGTTTAACAATGTTCTATTTCTGTCTGCATGCTGATATTTTAGGAAACTGTGCCCATTTAGGGAGGAGCACTGAACCAGAGACAAACAGTACGGGAGATAATTCCTGTCCGGAGTGCCCTAGAACCGGCAGCACATGTCATGGACAACTTCACTGTTTTTAAAGCATCTTGTTTGCTGACCCATTCATGCCCTTGTCTCGATTAAAGTAGAATTCCCTGGCACTGTAGGCTGTTAAATAGAGAAATAGGTTTGTGTCGAGCACTCACACCTGGGACAGGCATTCCCTTTAATAGTTTCCTGTTAAGCCTAGTACCCTACGCATACTAATTAATGCAGGTTTCAGAACAGTGATTATAGTTGATTTCAGTCTGAACATAAAGATCAAAGCTTCCTTGCCCTCATGTGTAATTAGAAAATGCAAATACCATCTTTGTATATCCACAATTAAATCAGCTACTAATAAATGATCAATTGATCATGACTACCTCCCAGATAAAATCAGATATGTTCAGCGGAATGTTTGAATTCTGCTGCCAGTAATTATTCAGTCTTTTGTCCATTTATTTTGCCATCAGAGAGCTGGAAGCACAAGCAGTGCATGCTAATGATGCATGTTTGAGCTGAACTCCAGGACCGTCTGTGCTAGCCCCGCAATGCCAGTAGGCTTTGTTTTCTCTTCTGCTTCGTTTGTTTATGGGTTTATACTACCCGAGTTCCCCAGTCCCTGTCACTCTTTGTGTTCGGGCTCAACTCCCCATTGGGAAAAGTTTTTTTTTTCTTTTTTTCAAATTTCGCCTTTTTTTCTTCTTGCTTTGGGTGGGGTGAATAAAGGTCTGAAGAACTGCAGTAAAAAACTTTTATATTTCAGTGTTTATGCTTAGAGGAAAAGCTAAATGCACATCTCCAAGGGGACAGGAAAAGCAGGGGAGAAGAGAAGGGTAGACAGAGATGCTGTTTAATACGGAGAACATAGAGGGACAAATGGGTAAGTGCGAGGACATTTTATTCTGTTACAAGGAAAGCGTTGTGATATATTTTGAGTGCTCCAGGGCAGCTTTGTTTCCACTGCAAGAAATGACACAAACAGCTTCAGCCATGCTCTCACACTTGCAACACACATCCAGTCTGTACTCTGTAGAGGCACATATGGCACACAGATTAAGCTACGACATATTTGCATCCTCTGAACTGTATGTATTATGCATGCGCTCATACAAAGATGCACTTTATCTGAAAAGGAATTATCATTTACACTATTACCAGTAATCCACTTCTTAGTCTTTGCTGGAGAAACAATCACAGACGGAGATGTACAAACACATAAAAAGACACATGTGCTTAATAAAAGGATAATATAGGTACAGCAGGGTTTGACACCCCCATTCCAGTTCATCAAACGGTACAGTGGACTCTAATCCATTATCTGATAAATGGATTTGAAAATTTAATTCCAAGCCAGACCTGGCTTTGTAGCTTTCCTTCCTCTGCCATATATTTGTGTCTTTCTAGTAAGCAGCACTGGGACGTTCCCATATAGCACACACTCACTCCAAAAACAAAAATAGGATAAAAACAAAAAAATTTAAATAAAGAAAGAAAAAAAAAGACAAATGGTAATATTCCTCATTTGCAATTTCTAGATTTGCGTTCCTGTTATTGTTACTCTGTCATCAGTGTTTATACAGAATCAATAACTTCTGTGATGCAAAAGAGAGACTGGAAGTGTTGCTAGCGATTTAGCTTCCCCGCATGTACCCAGAGGGCCTCTGTGTGTGCACGCGTGTGTGTGGGTTTGTGTATCTATAGCAGCACCTACTCCTCTACCTCCTCTGAACCAGCATTACCATTACTGATGTTCAGGCCAGCCCGGTCCCCATTGATTGTTATTGTTCCATTCTCTTTTACATTAGTAAGAAGTCTTTAACCTATGTTCTACATTGTCCTAACTCTACCATTGCTCATGTCAGCGGGGACACAGAAAAGGAAGACATGATCATTAACCTCTGTTGGGGAAACACACTTTTTCGTTTGTCTGACAAAGCCCGTTTACACCCCTAATTGGATTTAATGTTGGCACTGCAGAGAGCATGTTTTTTATTTAAATGTGCTGCATTCTTCGCTTTCAGTTAACAGTGCAATGAGAAAGCAAGAAGGAGGAGCTTGAAAGAAAGCAATATCATAATTAGTCTTTGTGTTCCTTGCAGGCCCAAGTCCTTTCCCATGTTTTTTTGTTGCCTCTTAAAATACTTTCCATATAAATCTTTTGATTCCCACTGTCTCCCCCTCATTCATATCCTGCAGACAGCTTCAACTTCTGTAGGTTGTAAATATGCTCTGCATTGTTTTCTTTGGTAGTTGGTTTGTTGTTGATTTTTTTCCTTTTTCTTTTTTTTTTTTTTTTTTTAATTTCCTTTTTTACTGTAATCAGACCTAAAGCATTTTTGTGGAGACCTGGTCCAAGCGCAAAAATATGGCTCTTATTTGAGTATATTATTGTCAGATAATGTTTTGTAAAAATTTTGATGATGAATAAACATCTAAAGATGGAAACTGTGTTGTCCTTTTTATAATTCAATTGTAGTTTGTAGTTAATAGATTACTTTATCTGTCTTACCTATTAGCAAGAGTTCACCACTTATGGCCAGTGCTAGTCAGCCTGCAGAAGCAGAACAATGGTATAACATTTTCTTTTGAAAGAAGTTTTAAATTTCGGGCCTTCAAGAGGAGCAAAACTGAGAGCCTTGCGTGGCTGGCGTCTGTACTTGGAACCTTTACTATTGCAGTTTTTGATGTAAATTGTTGATAATATCCACTGGAAACACTGATGGCAAAATAAAAATTTCTCATCGATTCAGGTATGTTTCTAATTTTTTTTACAGTGACTCCTCCTAACTCTTTAGGAAGGGGCCCATTTTTAAACAACTGCTATTTCTTCGAACCGTGTAAGCATGCTTACTTTGCTCACGTTTCCCTGTAATGTAAAGATTTCCCCAGAAAATAGTGTCCATCTTTCATCTCAGTTGGCAAGAAATTTAAATTCATACTCAAACTTCTAAACATCAATCTAATCTGGACTTTTCACCACATGCAGGATTGCAATCACAGAGTCCTAAGAGGGGGGACAAAATCACTCTCAGCAGGCTTTGGCAGCCTGGGGTTTCCTCAAAATAGCAACACACTTCACAGAGACTACCATAAAAACAGACTTTAACAACAATATGAGACACATTGTGATCTGCGATCTCATGGTGACAATACCCTCATGATGTGTGAGATTGTCACAAAGTGTGTCATCCCTTGTGTACAACATACTGGTGTTTTTTGAAACCTGTCAAGATGTAGAGACAATGCTTGTGGCAGGCTCATCAGTGGTGTACTTACCAAAATGTAGCTGTCGTATCTTCACTGTTAAGCTTAGTGAAGAGTCAACACAAGAGCAAGAAACTAAGAATTTTAGTAAAAGAAAAAATATGTCAAGGAAGAAATGAAAAAAAAAAAACAACAACAACAAAACATCCCCTTCAATAGAAGGGTTAAATATGGACAAATATGGAACAAGTACAGCGATGTAATGTGACCCAAACAAGAGTCAGCAGCACGCAGTGTACATCTTGGCAGCGGATGTGTAATTGTATTTGTACATGTATCTGCAGGTGCATGCACACTGTTACATCAGTTTGATATGATAATGACGCTAACAAGAGACACAAATTTTAGATGTAAGAAATGGAATAACGTAGTTCAAAATAAATTGTGCATCAAGTTTTCTAAATTCTTCAAGTTTGACTTAAAGCATGATGTATAAAAGTATGCATACCTTTAAGCAATGCAAAGTCAGCAACCTACATTTTAAAGTTGCTGTTTATTTTACAAACTTTTCAGAGACTGTGTTGGTGTACAAGTGATCATAAAGTCAACTTGATGAATGCAGCTGACATGTTCAAAGTGAACCAAATACCCGTGGCAAAGGAGCACTGCCAGTGTCACAGAGATGGGAGATCTGTTTGCTCCAGCCCGCTGTCAGTTCAGATGCACACATCATGCTATCACTACCTTGGAGGAACATGACAGGCCCACTCACAGTCCAGCTCACTGTGGTTTTCAGGACATGGGGTCTTGCTATCTTTTACTTTTTCTCCTCCAATGATTGCACACCCTTTGGTATAACATCAACACAAATACGAGGAAATTACGCTGTATTTATTCACAAAATTTAAACCTGCATTCAGATGACCGTAATCTTCGCTAATTGCTGATAGATGTCGATAACAGATCTGCTACATTTTTTGGTAAAAGAAAAAAAAAGTCACTGCACTTTTCCACTCTCTTCATTAGCTTCTAGGCTTCAGGAGGCAAGCAGGTTTGTCAGCTGTCAAGCTAGCCCAACATAGTGTCAGGATTTCTGCTCATCCTGTCCCTCAACACAGGAATCAACTGAGGTAATGTCCCAGGGTTGCTACTGTTCACACTTGGATTTGAGGGCACACACAGCTAAAGCTTGCTAGTTCTGTTTGTTCATGACACAATCATGCTTGGTTTAAAGTACTATGTCATAAAATGGTCATGACTAGGTTGAATCAGGAAAATAACACGTCAGTTATAATCTTGACAAAACCAAAGATCCCAGAATGAAGGCTTGGATAACGTAATATCGATTCATTAGAATCAAAAATCGATTTTTTTAATATAAATGTATTTTGCCCAAAATTCCAGAATCTCAGGTGAAACGTCACAAAATGTTGACAACCACCAAACATTAAAAACAGTAAATGAGAGCAGGTACACGGCTTTTGCACAAAGACGTAAACACAAAGCGCAGACCCGCGGATCAGAATCAGTGAGATGTCGCCTTTCTCACCCGACGGCATGGACACGGTCAGGGCTGAAAGCCGACAGCTCGCTGATTCTGATGTTTCGGCAGGTCCACGCTTTGTGTTTACACCCTTTTTTTTTGCTGATTCTAAAGCTGTTTTATCTCTCTCCAAACAATATTGACTGAACCAGCAGCAAAAGAAGATCCAAACTAAGCTTCACATAAACATCGTCAAGGACTCCCTCTTACTTTTGCTGTTTTGCTTCCACCACAATAAAATCACACTTCATGCACAGCTCTCTCTCTCTCTCTCTCTTTCTCAGTGTACTTCAAGAACAGTTTCCCGTCTATCCCCGAAATCTGTTTTCTGCATTATTCGCTTGCTTGTTAAGCACAAGACTACAGTTATTTACAGCGCTGTCGGCCGATGTTTTTTTTCCCTTTTACTTACTTCTGAAAAGAAAGCCTAATTTCTGTTGTTCAATAGGCTTCTGAACAAATTTTAACTTTTTAAAATTATGCAAAATGCAAAATGCTTAGCCATGTCTCTAATAAAACCGCTGTAACTTCAGAGGTAATGTTCATATGTTGATTAATGGTTTTCTTTCGTTTTTGATGTACTGCAGAATATTTTTATAAAATCTCAGGCCAGGAAAATCACCTTCATGTTTTTCTGTGTTTTATCTTCAGCTACTTTTACACAAAGGCATCTGCTGTGATGCTCACACCTTTGATCAAGTCTGGAAAGTGTCAGCTTCCTTTTTATAGATACAAAAATATGCAAATGTACTGATCTGAATTATAATATTTCTGACTGTCTGAGGCAAAATTTTCCAGATTCAAATCAAATTGAATCGAATCGAATTGAATCTTGAATCGAATCGATTCAGGACCTTGTGAATCGGAATCGAATCGATTCTAGAAATCAGTGACGATACCCAGCCCTAGTCAAAATATTCCTTGGCCTGTAATACATTGTCTAATGAGAGCATCTAACCAGATACTATGTATGGGAGCTGCACTTTCATCAATTACAAGGCTCTTCTGAGGGTCATGATGAAAACCCAGCTAATTAGTAGGTGTGAGGGTCTGAAAAGTCCAGTGGATTTATGTGCTGCAACCTTTTAGCAAAATGTATTTGTAGAGTTTCTTTCAGGCCATTCCTACATAACAGACACACACACAAAGGTAATTAGGTAATTGTTGCTTCTGAGCCTCAGACACCGACAGATTTGAAGATGCACATTCAAGGTCATCAAGGTTACCTGAACAAAATTGTGAAGCTTTAACCAAATAAATGTTTAATTCCACCAGAAGCCTGGACAGAGAGTGTAATAGGAAATGTTGCTTTGGTTTACAGAAACCATCTCAACATTGTTGTAGGCCAAGTGCAGCTACTCATGGCAACTTGTTCACATTGCCCAAACCCAAACCCAGTTGAGCAAGTTCAGAATAAGAATGCAACAATCCTGCTCTGTAGAGATCTCACTTTGTCATTCACATGACATGAAATAACTCGTGCCAACTTCTAGGACCTCAGGACACCAACAAATGTCCCATGCCAATGCCCTTACGAGTTATATTTTCAGGATATGGTATACATTAATATGTGTATTTCTTTGCACACTTTGCACAATGTTTGCACAGCATCATATAAAAAAAGACCAATTTCCTTTGCGTTGAGGGTAGCCGCTTCTCCACAACAAAGGTCCGCCTTAACCGAAAGGTTAAAAAAAAAGGTCTGACATGGCTGAGGGGTCAGTCTCTCGCAGTTGATTGCACACAGCCCATCTCATCTCAGTCTGTGTAAAAAAAAAAAAAAAAAAAAAAAGAAGCCCTTGGCTGGTGGTTGATTGGCCAGGTCAGGAGGCTTGGTAAGTATGCAGTGTCTGATTCTCAGTGACCTTTAAGGCAGTGTGATGGTACTGTGGGCCTGAAAACTCTCTACTGGAGGAGAGTGGAGAATTCATTGGTTTGAGATACTCAAAGGATCTTTCTTTGGACTGTTTTTGCTTACTCTCTCCCTTTTTTTCTATGTCTCTATGTCTCTCGCTCACTCGCTTTACACTTACTCTTGCTCTTTCTCAAAGATTTCTATGGTGCTGTTGGCCCTACATCCACTGTAAGTAATGGAGCTCCCCGGGGATGTAAAAGGTCTTGTCCTCATACAACCTACAGAGGCTTTTCTATGTCCTGCCACAGTCTGGATTTAGCTTGAGCAAAATTCAGTCACAATTGTTCCCCTCTGTGGATGGGTAAATAGAGTACTTCTCCTCTTCCCCTTTGGCATTTTTCTTTTTAAACACTCTACCGTGCCTTCCCCTTGACCTGAAATGAGCAATCAACATTTAATGATTGTGCTCTCCTTTCTCAGTCTTGAATTGTTCTTTTATTCAGTCTGCCATCAAATGAGCCCAATATTACTGCACTTTATTTTAAATGCTGCAAGAAATCTGGCATTTTGAAAACAACATAACATAATCTTATGTAGAATACATAACAGGTTAAAAAGAAAATCTGAAAAACAATGAGTAAAACAAAAAGATTACTCGATTTTATGAGCTAGACTAGTTCTCAGTAAAATTCTCAAATACTTTAAACACGCAAAAAAAAAAAAAACTTTTTAAAATGTCAATCTTATTTAATTCTAAGCTGCATTTGAATTGAACAGAATATGTTAATAAAGTTACTGTTCAGATAACAAATCATCCAGATTTCATTGTA